CTGCGATCTGTGAAACTGTCGCCATTTTCGAGGCCTGCTGGGGGGCCCAGCACAGTGAGGGCCCCGCGCAGATTCAAATTAGACCTCGCCATCCCTGGGGGGGCTGCGATCTGTGAAACTGTCGCCATTTTCGAGGCCTGCTGGGGGGCCCAGCAAAGTGAGGGCCCCGCGCAGATTCAAATTAGACCTCGCCATCCCTGGGGGGGCTGCGATCTGTGAAACTGTCGCCATTTTCGAGGCCTGCTGGGGGGCTGCACAGTGAGGGCGACGCGCAGATTCAAATTAGACCTCGCCATCCCTGCGGGGGGCTGCGATCTGTGAAACTGTCGCCACTTTCGAGGCCTGCTGGGGGGCCCAGCACAGTGAGGGCCCCGCGCGGATTCAAATTAGACCTCGCCATCCCTGGGGGGCTGCGATCTGTGAAACTGTCGCCATTTTCGAGGCCTGCTGGGGGGCTCAGCACACTGAGGGCGACGCGCAGATTCAAATTAGACCTCGCCATCCCTGGGGGGGCTGCGATCTATGAAACTGTCGCCACTTTCGAGGCCTGCTGGGGGGCTCAGCACAGTGAGGGCGACGCGCAGATTCAAATTAGACCTCGCCATCCCTGGGGGGGGCTGCGATCTGTGAAACTGTCGCCACTTTCGAGGCCTGCTGGAGGGCCCAGCACAGTGACGCACGCGCAGATTCAAATTAGACCTCGCCATCCCTGGGGGGCTGCGATCTGTGAAACTGTCGCCACTTTCGAGGCCTGCTGGGGGGCCCAGCACAGTGGGCCACGCGCGGATTCAAATTAGACCTCGCCATCCCTGGGGGGCTGCGATCTGTGAAACTGTCGCCACTTTCGAGGCCTGCTGGGGGGCCCAGCACAGTGACGCCACGGCGGACCCAAATTAGACCTCGCCATCCCTGGGGGGCTGCGATCTGTGAAACTGTCGCCACTTTCGAGGCCTGCTGGGGGGCCCAGCACAGTGACGCCACGGGCGGACACCAGTCAGACCTCGCCAAACTCTGGGGGGCTGCGAATCTGTGAAACTGTCGCCACTTTCGAGGCCTGCTGGGGGGCCCAGCACAGTGACGCCACGGGCGGACCCAAATTAGACCTCGCCATCCCTGGGGGGCTGCGATCTGTGAAACTGTCGCCACGTTCGAGGCCTGCTGGGGGGCCCAGCACAGTGACGCCACGGGCGGATTCAAATTAGACCTCGCCATCCCTGGGGGGCTGCGATCTGTGAAACTGTCGCCACTTTCGAGGCCTGCTGGGCGGCCCAGCACAGTGACGCCACGCGCGGACCCAAATTGGACCTTGCCATCCCTGGGGGGCTGCGATCTGTGAAACTGTCGCCACTTTCGAGGCCTGCTGGGGGGCCCAGCACAGTGACGCCACGCGCGGACCCAAACAAGACCTCGCCATCCCTGGAGGGCTGCGATCTGCGATGCCCGCTTTCGATGTGGCTAGGGTTGCTCAGGGGTTGTAACTAATCAGGTTAATCTAGTCCTTGTCCTGTAGCCAGTGTCCTGCGAGTCTCTCGCATTCCGTCTGCAGACATATGTAACCCTCGCTCCGTCATCGGACACGGAATGGACTCAGAAAGTCATAGTATGGAACCCGCGCTACACGCATGGGGCTACGAGGGCGCGCGGGCGCCCTCCGACGAGATGGGACGACCGCCTCCAAGGATTCGCCCGCGATGTCTTGCATAATGTGTCTCGCTGGTATGACAGTGTACACGATGGTGACGAGGACGCATTCGTCGAGTATTGCATTCACGCGTGAGGACCGCCCCCGTTCTTTTCTTTCCTCCCCCCTCCCCCCTCGGAGGCACAACGTTTGCTCTCCGTTTACGCACGTGTGCGCTCAGGCCACTGTGCTGGAGCCTCGCCCGTCTACGGGCCAACCCATGTGGTTTGACTGGGCCTCTGTCTGTCTGTCTGCTCCGTCATCGCCCCCGCTTATAAAGTGTCCTAAACTATTTGCGCCCCGCGTTTGCGCAGGGGTTGAACACCTCCGCAACCCTCCCATTCCTCGACACTCTCCCGCACTCTTCCTAACACTTTTGGAACCCTCCCATTCCTCCACATGCCTCTGGCACTCCTCCCGGAACCTCCGCGACCCTCCCATTCCTCCACACACCTTCGCACTCTTTCCAACACCTCCGCAACCCTCCCATTCCTCCACACACCTCCGTACTCTTCTCGAGGCACGTATGTGTCCCCAGCAATGGCAGACATGCGTGTGGCGGTTGAGGCCAGGCAGACTACCCGCCTCGCCGCTCACTCGATTTTTCCCTCCGTACTCTTTCTGAGGCACGTATGTGTCCCCAGCAATGGCAGACATGCGTGTGGCGGTTGAGGCCAGGCAGACTACCCGCCTCGCCGCTCACTCGATTTTTCCTCTCCGCTCCTTCTCTCTGCTCCGAGCTGGATTGTGCGCCGGCCATGCAATCATGATGATGATGATCATCATCATCATCATCATCATCATCATCATCATCATCATCATCATCATCATTATTATCATCCCTCCGTCTCCTCGCTCATCCCTCCCACCCTCCTCCTCCGTTCGCCGGCTCCCTCCCTCGGAGGTTTTCGGGAGTCTTCTGGGAGGTTCGGGGGCCTCGGCCGGGGAGGTTCCGGGAACACCCGATGGCCTCCAGAGGCCTCCGAAAGCCTCGGAGCCAGCATTCGGGGATTTGAAAGTCTCGCCAACGCATCGCCGACACATCGGCGATGCATCGGCGACATCCCACGACACCAACTGTCCGAACCCCATCTGGGAGGCCTCCTTGGAACTGCATCGTTCGCATCGCCAACGCATCGCCGACACATCGGCGATGCATCGGCGACATCCCACGACACCAACTGTCCGAACCCCATCTGGGAGGCCTCCTCGGAACTGCATCGTTCGCATCGCCAACGCATCGCCGACACATCGGCGATGCATCGGCGACATCCCACGACACCAACTGTCCGAACCCCATCTGGGAGGCCTCCTCGGAACTGCATCGCTCTGGGGGTATAACTGTACAGTCAACCCGCAGAGTGAAGATGGGCAACCCTCCCAAGGGTACCCCTGCATCCTTGCCCCTTCGGCCCATCCTCGGCCACTCGGGCTGGCCAACCTCCTTCGAAAAACGTTCACATGGGCCTCCAATGCAGTTGCATCCTCACCGCGCACCCTCGTGATACGGGTTCACTGCAGTCGTAAACGTCGGGCTAGCGCCTTCTGAGAAGCAGCTGCCAGGGGGGCCCAGCGCAGATCCAAAAAATCCGCGCGGAACGCCAATTTTTGTTTGTTTGTATGCCTGCTTGCTTTTCATCTAGTGGAGCAAGGAGGGGGAAGGGAGGTGGCGGTGGTGTATATGCTTGGGGCCCGCCGCCCATGGCGCGCGCCCTCCCGTGGCGGGTGGCACGGGCGTGCACGGGCGCAGGGCGCGAGGAGCGGCCAGCCCGGATGCCTTGGCGGGCGGCGCGCGCCCCCTGAGATGTCCGAGGTGACGGAGCAGCTGCAGCATCGCATGCGTTTGCTCATTAATTCTTTTGCCGATCGGCGCGGGCCCGAGCACCCCCCTTCCCCCCCCCCCGTGGAGTAGATCTTGCCTGTTTTTGTTGGCGCCTGTTTCGAGCAGGTGGAGTCTCCCCCATAGGACACACGGTTCCAAACACTGGCACTAAGCAGAGGTCCAGAGCCACCCCCCCTCCTCCCCCTCCCCTTACGCGCAGTGTCGAAACGCCAAAACAAATTCAAAACGCGCACATCGCGAAATTCCACGACTGGAGCTTTGGACCCTTTTCTCTTGTCGGCACGGTCGAACTCTTAACGGACAGTATGGGTACGAAGACAAGCAGCGATTCTTGCCCATTTTGAGCAGCATTCGCTGTCCGCGTCGCCGCGGACATGGTCCCTTCGGGGCAGGAGGCCGCCTGCCCAACAGCGGCCGTTGTGGGTTTGGGACAGCATTTGTGGTGAGGCACCGTGCAAGTTTTGTCCCGTGCCCATTGCGGGCGTCATCCTTTTTGCCGCGCTTTTGACCCAGAGCGACCTCTGAAACGGGAGGAGGGATGAGGGAGGAGGGGGGAGGGAGGAGGGAGGGGGGAGGAGGGAGGAGGGAGGAGGGAGGGGGGAGGAGAGGACGAGGACGAGGAGGGAGGAGGGAGGGAGGAGGAGAAGGACCAGGAGGAGGTGGAGGAGGAGGAGGAGGAGGGAGGAGGAGGAGAAGAGGGAGGGAGGGAGGAGGGAGGAGGAGGAGCAGCAGGAGGAGCAGGAGGAGGAGCAGGAGGATGGGGAGAAGGAGGAAAGAGGAGGAGGAGGAGGAGGAGGAGGAGGAGGAGGAGGCGGAGGAGGAGCAGGAGGAGGAGGAGGCGGAGGAGGAGGAGGAGGAGGAGGAGGAGAAGGAGGAGGAGGAGGAGGAGGAGGGCAATCACATCTCGCTCTTCTGTGCCCCTGCGCCCCCGCGGGGCGTCGGCGGTGTGCCCGCGCCCCGCCCAGCGACGAGGCGCGGACCTGGGGCGCGCATCGGCGCCCCGCCCTCCTCCCGCGGTCCCCTCCGCCTCGTGTGTGACGATGCCTCATCGGGTTGTTTCCGTCCCTGTCTCCATCTATGGCTCCGTGCTCGTCGCCCTCTCCGTCTCCGTCTCCCTCTCTCTCTCTCTCTTTGTTGCTGCTCCGTTTGTTTTTGTTTCTCTCGATCTCTCTTTCTAGCGCGGTACTCATCTTCTTCTCCTTCTTCTTCACTCCTTTTTTATTATTATTGTGATTATGCTT